GTGTGTGTGTGTGTGTGTGTGTGTGTGTGTGTGTGTTTTATGTACATGTGCGAACTATTTACATGTACATATATCTACACGCATATTATTTTTAAAACGTAGTATATTTTGTGCATATTATGTTGTATGCATATATACACACTTGCTCTTCTTTGACCTCTCCTTCTATCTCACGTCTGCGTCCCCTTCGTTTTGTTATCACACGCTGTGATATTTCCTCTACATTGAGATGTGACAGGTAGGGATGATAAGTTTTCTTTACTGTCTGTGTGGGTTTTTCCCCCTGTCTTTTATCCTTTCTATATATTTAAAATTTTATTAAAAAAGTACTTTTTAAGAGATATTTGGTTTTACTTGTACATTAAATTTAAAAAACCAAACTGTAGTCTTTTGTAGCCGTCGAAGCTTGACATACCTTTGTTGACTTAATAGTTTTGCTGGGACATATAGATAGGCTTATTGGCACGTACATGGATACATGATGTATTGGTCAGGGGCTAGGCCTTCTCAGTATCTGGCCTAACATCCCGCACGGTTGGCTCCGCATTGGAGACCGACACGTTCGCGTAGGGTCAATGCGAAAAGCGGCGATAGACTCGTGCGCTGGTGCGGATGATGGAGCATTCTCGCACTGTACTCACTAGACTGGCCTAGGCTACAAGGAACCTTACTTAAATTCAATGTATTGTTTTGTTGTTGTTGGTGCTTTGTTGTTAGAGTTTGTCGGCTCTTATAACAAAGGAAGATCATATCAGTGACAGAGTGTACCAATTCGTCAACATGAAAACGAATTACGTTCGTATTTTACCATGAAATACAGACCGTGGCACACAAGTGGGATAACTTCACTTGCAACGCATAGCCCACAAGAAACAGTTTCTCATTCTGCGTGAACTGAGGAGGCCTAGGTCAGAGGCTATACGTTCTTATACCAGCATCTAGGTCAGAGGGTATGGTTTTGGCTATTGGCTCATGTGTCCAGAATGAAGCAGTCCTCAGTGCGCGGTGTTTATTCCACAATATTTTACTCACTTATGGCTGTTAGTCAATGCACCTAAATTAATGTAGTCATCGGTGCTTGAAAAAATGCGGACAAAGTAATATGAAATTGAAATGTACGTGCAGTTATTTTTGTGCGACATTTTACGTAGACTAGGGTGTACCAAAAGAATTTCCATTGTACTTTTTGTCAAATAAAATGTTAGTTGGTTTGTCTGTATTGACCTATAAACACAAACGGGATCGTCGTTTCTTGCAGCGGTAGATAGTGTCTGCTGCTGTTGGTCGTTGTAGGGGAGTTCTCTTTCCCTCTGTCTCTCGCACATAACGCACGCACTCACATAGACACACATAGTCTCTCTCTCTCTCTCTCCCTCCCTCTCTCTCTCTCTCTCTCTCTCTCTCTCA